TGCACTCCTACTACTGTTGATTTTGTGTAGTCCTCAGAACCATAGACGTTGCCGATTCCAAGTGATACAGGCTACGGACAGGTCAACCATTGTGCAGGATGACCAAATCTAATCTAATGCGTTTTTAGCAACTCTTTTTAACTTTTCCTGGATTTGGTACATTCTAACTCATCACTCGTTATCTATTGAGCTTGTATTTAAAGTAGTTTTAAAAAAAAAATTTTAAAGGAAAAAGAAAAGTGGCCTGACCTCCTTGAGGTTTATCATATTTGCATTCACCTCCTCTTTATAAAATAATTAAGGGATGGCCCTTAATTTTGTCCATATTATGACATTATGGCCTTAAACTTTTCTATACAAGTCCATTTGCTTCTTTCTTTGTTTTGTCTATACCTCAAGTTTTTTTTTTTATCAGACTTTTGAAGTTAGTTAATTAAACATAATCCCAAATTTAACCCCAACTTTTGAGGCAAACTCGGGGACTTAACTACCCAACCCTCAAACCCCTTAGAATCGATGTGGGACTACGGGAAAATTAGTAGGAAAGTCTCTACTAGGCCTTAACTAAGAACCCACTTACCCCAGATACCTCCCCTACGTCTTTGTCTTTTTTTATCAGACTTTTGAAATTAATTAATTAAATCTAATCCCAAATTTAACCCCAAGTTCACACCAGGTTTTTTTTTTTTTCCGTTCATAACTTATAGTAGTACGTCATATATAGTTTGGGATGGGAAATCAGTGGGGATTTGAATAATTTTGAAAAGAAGCCATGTGGGCCTGGGAATATATGGGCTGATGCCCAAGTACACGCAGTCCACCATGGGATTAAATAGGACGGTTTGTACGCGTGCATGGTTGATGATAGAGCGGCTCCTCCAAAACGACGAAGGTAGACCCTTTCCACCATGTGCTCGGCTTAAGTGGATCTTTAAATAATATGGGTCAAGTCCAGATAATCACCCAAATTCCTACCTGAGACCATTCAAGCCCAACTTTTGTTAAACTTGTTTCTTCTTTTTCAATTACCACTGAATTTTATTCAATTAATTAAACCAGTTTCAGTTCTACGAAACGGTTGCTGGCTGGAATTCAAAGGCAATCGGTCAGTCAGTCAATCGTGGGATTTTGGCCAATCGTTTGAGCAATTACCAAACTATGCTAACTTGCGAAGTTGGGAAGTTGGGAAGCCGCCTTTTTATGCTCAAGTAACTGTTCTATTTTTTTTTTTATCAATTATCGTCATTTACACTTATTTTTATTCATATTCTAACTTATTTTAGGGAATGATCCAACAGAATCCGTTGAATTATATGAATGCATTATACATCCATATGAATTTAAAAGAAGCCATACTAAGTAACAATTTCAATAGGAGATAAGTTTTGAATTATTGACCTTTTTTATGTTCTATTTTCTTTTTTTATCAATTATCGTTATTTACACATATTTTTATTCCTACTCTAACTTATTTTAGGGAATAATCCAAAAGAATCCGTCGAATGATATGGATGCATTACGCACCCATATAAATCTAAAAAAAGTTACACTAAGTGACAATATTAATAAAAGATAAAATTTAAACTCTTGACATTTCACCCAGAAGGTAGTTAACCTAATAATTGCGTTTGACCATTCCCAGATAAAATGAAAATCATTTGATGTCTTGTTCATTTTCCAGTGGATTTCGATATTACTGTCAACTTCCTTCTCGATTTCCATTACACAAATCTATCAACCAATTCAAATTATTAGATGCATTTCTCTACCAAACCCACATATAAGCTCCCTGTTGTTTTGTTTCTTGTTAATGATATTCACATACCAACATCGTCCTTATATTTTTTGCAGCGGAGAATATTGCAATAAAAGTGCCGTCTTTATTTAGATGCTCGATTTGGCATACCGCCATATACGATTTTCATGATTGAGATATTAGAAAATTCAAAAGCATGATTTATGACTGATATAGTGTTCTATATTTTCCAATCAATTTAAGGAAAATAAACTACATTAACATAAAACTTAGCAAGAGTTGTTTTAAACATTTTATTCTATAAATTGCTCTAAAAAGTAAAAACTTGATTTTTTCTAATAGATTAGGGAGAGTGCCCGCACATCGCGCGGGTATTTAATACTTGTGGAGAAGGAGTTTTTTTTGTTGAACAAATAATAGTACATTGTGAGAAGAAATAAAATTTAGTATGAAAAGATAAACAATATAATCAATTAATTCACGCAGCATTACAATAAAACTGTGTCAAATTGAAAGTCGTTGATAATGTAGAAAACAGAGCAACACAGAAAGCTAACCTTATTCCAGAATCCCCACCGAGAGCTCTTTCTTATTATTGCTCCAAACCTATAAGATTATAACTAATCCAGACCAATTGGGGTTAGGCAACGCGAAATATGCTATCTTGCAGCTAGGCAACGCAATAAGAGTCGTTAATTGTAGGTACTAATAATACACCGACAAAATTAAAGGAGGAACTAAAAAATTGGGAATGTGAAATCTAATCTCACGCTGAACCACCAGGAGTAGTTGGGATTGAAGAATATTTTGAGCTAATTAGTATGAAACCGGGTAGAATTATCCCAATCCTGAAATGCGAACAAGGGGAAACTGATAATTAACCGTTTAGGCATTAACATACCAACGGTTCGGCAATTGAATTGGGTGTAATTAATGACAAAATAATAGTTAATTTCAAATTTGAGTTCGGATGAAAGAGAAAACAATGAGGCAAATCTGTTGTAAACAAAGACAAAAGGGAAAAATTTAATTCCTGAAACTGAAAGGGTATAAACTGACCAATGTTTGTGACTCATAAATGCATATTATAAATGATAGATAAATAGGTTCCTACAATTGATAGAGAAATCGTTGGTTCATTTCCTAAATCCGATTATCATTCAAACGTTTCAGACAAAGCAACATCTCAAACGGTTATCTGTTGTTGAAAATGGGGAATTATTGGTAGTTAAAAAATATTTCGGTAATTACACCAACATATAAGTATATATAGGTTGTACAAAATGTAAAAATAGTTGCACACTAATTACACATTTCATCAACACCCAGATGACTCGTCAATAACAACTTTAAATGTATTAAAATAGGGTCATTTCAGTAAACATACCCAAATACATGCTTCCTTAACTTGTATTTAAAGTTTTTAAATTAATACACAATATTTCACATTCCTAGAAAGCCCCCACCTATGTAGTTGAAATTCAACATATTTTTTGACCAAAACTCAATCTTGTATAGTATAATGATACTTAATAAGCAATGGTTGTTGATGTGACGGCCGAGTGGACAATCCGAACTGAGCACCAGGATGTGCTCGAACTGAGGAGAAACTAATTGGAACCAGCGAAGCGGTCTGAACTAACTTGTAAGGAGATGGACAACGGGACTAGCTCTCCGTTGTGACTCCGACGGTCAAGTTAGTTATGGTTACAAATAAAGCAATAGTTTTGACTACTGTAGATGACGTACCTTGTTTTGTTTCGTTGTGTTGTATTTATAGGATCCTTGGTAATTGTTTCCTTGTAGGATCACGAGCCCTACTAGAGATGGACTCCTTGAATTTTGCCTCCAACCTAGCCCCGAAAGACTATGGAGCCTTTCCCCACTCGGCCCACCAAGGGAGGGGCGCGCGGTCTTGTTCGAACTGGTATTTCACCAGTTCGAACTGATTTGTTCAATCTGACATCTCATTTGTTCGAATTGACACGTGGCCTTAGCGGATTAGCTCCTCCACAATTGACACTCAAATCACATCCAATCAAATGGGAGGAATAGGTTAGGTAGTATTCCCCGTCGAGAGGGGGATGGAGTGTAAGTGTTTCCCCTAATTAGTTTTTTTTCCCTTAAAATGTATTACATAAAATACATCTCAACGGTTGCCCAATTAGATAAACCTTAAAAAATTTATACTTCTTCTAAAATTGTTGAAACATATCAATGCATTCTATATAACTGCTAAACTATTAATAATTGACAAATAAAGCACAAATGTAATTGTCTACGTGATTTTGATACTCCAAAACCATTTGGATTGGGATCCCAAAACAATTCAAAAACACTCCAAATACAATTTCAAATAACATCTAACAAAAATACTAAAAGAAAACTTGCCACTTATTTTTTTATCCATCATCGTCTCGACCCTCCTCTTGCCTAAGTTCGCACCACCACTCTTCGCCTCCTTTCCTATTATGAACTACTGCCAATGCATCCACTAGCCCCACCTCCATTGCCTATGCTACCGCCTATAATTTTCTCTCTCATCCTCTTTACCTTTCCCTCTGTAGCACTCATTCCTTTGCTACTTGCAACTGGATTTGATCGCAATGACAAAGATTTTGTTATGACCGGTCCAAGAAAAAGAGGGAGGAAAGAGGTTGAGGGAAGCGGACGTGAGGATTGGTGCTAGTGCTTGCTGGTTGTGACTAGGGAAGGGAGTGAAAAGAATAAGAAAAAATTAAACAATATACATCTACAATGAATTTTTTTTTTGAAAATAAATTATAGTATTAATACATATACAATGAAAGATTTTGATAAACAAACTTATAGTAATGCTTCCCAAATATTTAATCCATATGAATCAAAAAATTTTTTAAAGTATTTTTGCTGTAACGATTGGATTTATTCACGTGAAGAGAAGGTGGTAGGAAATAAAAAATTAAAATATTTTAATAAAATTTTAAAACACCCCCAATATACATCTACAATGAAAGATTTTTTTTTGAAAAAAATTATAGTATTAATACATATACAATGAAAGATTTTAATACACAAACTTATAGTAACGTTTAAATATTTAATCCATACGGATCAAAAAAAGGAAATTTTTTTTTAATATTTTTGTTGTAAAGATTGGATTTATTCACGTGTCGAAATAGAAACTTCCAAATGAGTAGAAACATGACCTGGCGATGGGGTACTTGAAAGGTGTTGACCACTATTAGTTTTCAACCGTCTCGCTGACACAGAGGCGGAGAGAGCTCAGAGGAGCACAGAAATCGAAAAAACCCATTTCCCGACAAAAAGCCAAAAAAAAGAAAGAAACCCGAAAAAGATCCATGCCGCCCCCGCCCAACAACCTCAACCGTTCTCGTGCTTTGGCTGCTTTACTTTCTTCTCTGGTTTCCCAGCTCCTCTTGCTTCTTCTCCTCTTTTGCCCTTCCTCAACCCCTTTCTCTCTTCTCAATTCCTTTTCCTCCACCCACCAATTCTTTTTCCCTCTCCTCCACCATTTTCTCTCCACCTCGGAAACTTCCGCCACTTTTTCCCTTTTGTCCTCTTTTTCCAGAAAACGCAAGCGGACCCATTCTCCAAACTCCGATGACCCGACCCATGCCAACGCGGTGTCAGGATCCGCACCCGACTCTGTCATCCCGAAGAACCCAGATTCCTACAAGCAAACTTTCAAGATGAATTGCTCAACTTTCGAGTGGCTGTGTGGCCTCCTCGAACCCCTTCTCGAATGCCGGGACCCGGTTCAGTCCCCACTTAATCTTCCCGTTGAGACCCGACTGGGAATCGGACTTTTCCGACTCGCCACCGGATCGAGTTACCAGGAAATTTCCCGGCGGTTCCGCGTCTCGGAATTGATAGCCAAATTCTGCGTCAAACACTTGTGCCGCGTTCTCTGCACCAATTACCGATTCTGGGTCGGGTTTCCAGCTGAGAACGAGCTTTATTCCGTGTCAACTCAGTTTGAAAAGCTCGGTGGATTGCGCAACTGCTGCGGAATTATTAATTGCGCGAGGTTCAAGGTCAAAGGCTCTGATTCAGTTTTAAAGTATTCCCATCTGGAAGACACAGTAGCTGCTCAATTAGTGGTTGATGCATCATCCAGAATTCTGAGCATTACAGCCGGTTTTCGCGGTAACAAGAGTAATTTAGCCGTCCTAAATTCATCAAGCTTGTATAAAGATGCCGAAACAGGAGCTCTACTGCACACGCGGACGCTGTACATAAATAATGTAGCTGTACCCCAGTATTTGATCGGGGGTGGTGGTTACCCTTTACTTCCTTGGTTGTTAGTCCCCTTTGCTGACCCTTTAGGAGGGTCTAGTGAAGAAAATTTTAACAATGTGGTAAAGATCATGTGTGTTCCGATGCTTAAAACTATAGCGAGTTTGAGGGGATGGGGTGTTTTAAGCGGGCCAATTGATGCAGAGTTTAAGACAGCAGTAGCTAACATTGGTGCTTGCTCTATTCTTCACAATATGTTGCTTGCTAGGGAGGATTATTCAGCTTTTTGTGATGAAGTTAGTGAATTTAGGGTGGATGATCAGAGCTTTGATTATACTTTGGATGAAAATTTGAATGAGAAGGGGTCTGCTATAAGAACTGCACTCTCCACTATATCGAAGAGAGTTTAATCTTATTGGACTATGTAGGAAGACTGAAAGATTGATCACATTAAGGCAGCAACGAAGGGAGATCATATAGAAAAGGGCTGTTAATTGGACTGCGGTCAACAATTTTGTGGGACGTAGCTAAGCACAGTTTTTTGTTCCTTCTTCCTTTCTTATTAGAAAGTAGGGGGTACGCATAGTCTGTATAAAATGATCACATTTTTTGTCGCTCAACTTGGTTTAATTCAACAGATACTTTTTTTTAATGTAAATAAAATCTAATTTTTTCTGAATGTTATTTTTCTAAATATTGTTTTCATACCTAGGTCTCTTGCTGTTAAGGCTGTAATGATTTTTTTTTTTTTGTTTTTTCTTATCATCTCTGAATGTGAGTATCACCTATTAGGTGTTATTAATTACCAAGTTCAATTAGTTTACCTCCATGACCTTGACTATTATGAGAAGCATTGCGTATTCTTAGTTGCTTTTGGTGCTAATAAAATCCCCTTTCTTACCCTTGGTATGCATGAACAATGTTACCTTAGTAGGAGTAATCTGGGTGAATATGTGGCTGACTTTACTACAGTTCATATTCATTGCTAATTGAGGTGTATTAGAACACTGCTGTTCACTACTCCTTCCAGTCAGGAAACTATATGCGTCTTTATCCTTCCAAGCAGTTGCTTTAACCGTGATGTTTGGATTGAAATTAAATGAATGAGCGAGATGTTGTGAAGCTCAAGATTCAAGTGATGCATTTGTTTGGCTATTCCTTTTTGTTATAGTTGAGCTGCAAGTCTTCGTGTGGCCAATCTCCATACAAATTTTTATCATCGAGCACTGACATCTAATTGAATTTTTTTTTTTAATGAAGTTAACGTGCTGTGCTAAAACTTGAGGAAGTGTAGTTTTGCAACTTTTCAAAGTGAAAGTTCCAACTTTTAGCTGAAATTAACTGCAATTGAAGGCAGATTCACTTGAGTGCCATCCGACTGATTGCATTTGAGAACTGGTTGTATAATTTCCTGCAATTTCAAGCTGAAGTGACGTAGCCCTGGGGAGGAATGAAACCTTTTTGCTATATCTGGATTACTTGCATTTGAACTGGCGCAAAATGGTTGAGCATGAGACATGTTGCAATGTTACTTGCATAGTTTACAGATTGGACAGCATAGAATTCTCAGATCTCAGAGTTAACTTGCGTTGATATTTAAGCCTATTACTTCATTATGTGGAAATCTGAGTGGTAAATGAAAAAAAAAAAGGGGCAAATTCTCAGATTGTTGCATCTACCAAATATGCATTGTGTCTACTGTGCTTGTTATCTTTTAGGTACCGAGCGACTTACTTACTGCAACTACTGCAGCATCACCCACAACAGAAGTCGTCTATAGAGCCTTGGTGCTGAGCAGAATTATGGCCTGTTGATGGGGTGATCCTACTGTCTGAGAGGAGTTATGGTTACTCGTACCATTCTTGGTAAGCTTGCTGGAGATTTTTCATTCAACCATTTCTTACACGTTGGAAATTCTGTCTTCCAGAGTAAAGCGCCAGAATCACTCAAAGCATCTAACGTACAACAGATTTTGGATTCCAACTTTTCCAAGCATTTATTGTGCAATTGTTAGAATAAGACTTAGGGGAACCTGTTTTTGCGCCTGCTATTATTGTTGCCTAGCGTCGGTATGTAATTTACCACTGTAGTATTTGATTTTACTTCCAATTTCAAATGACAGCAAATCAGCTGCTTCAACTGCAGATTCTCTTTACTCATTATTCTCTTGAAAGGGAGAGAATCTTTAAATGATGGACCAGCTCCTTCAGCACTCTTTCTTCTTGTGCTCCCACATATGAAGAGAGATGTTTACTACGGCAGCTAAAAGGAAAGCTAGGTTTCTTGGTGTGTATCCACTCCTGTTTTGTGCAAGGAACTTAAATAAATCCTCAGATCAATGTTCTTAGTACAACCTTCTTGACCCAGATTGCTGCAAGAGTTTATCCGCTGCTTGGGTTACATCAGTTGATCCTGACCATTTGGTGGCAGGAGGAAAAGGGCAAGCAATGAACTATCTTTCAAAGGAAATTTGAGAAAATGAGATTAGACAAGTTAGAGAAGCTTGCATTTGGGTCTGTGAATAAGCTGGTATAACATCGATTGCCATGAAAATTGGCTAATATATGATGAGATAGTAAATTCATTCATAAGGGAATGATGAAATGTAAACATCTTGAGTAGAGAGTGAAGTTTTCGGAAATATCCCTGTGCTTCGCAAATGAAATGCGTGCAGTTCCAAAAATTAAATTTAAGAAAAGCGTTTATAGAAGCATTTTCCTTCAAAAAATTTTTAAATTTTCTGTGAACACATTTTTGAATTATTTTTTATCTCGGGTACAGTAGCTCACTACAGTACATTTTCCTCAAAAAAAAGCGCCAAAAAATATCAATCCAAATGAGTTAAGTTGCTGACAGAGGGTTCTGCCTGTTACAATAGACCTAAGAAGTTAAAAGCACCTTTTATCATTTAACCATGTTGGGCAAACTCAAAAAGAACAGACCTCTTTTTTTACCCCCCTGGTTTTCCGATAGAATATCATTTTCTCCTGTAATTGATGGTAAAATGGAAAGAACAGAATTACAGCGAGACCAAGAGTAAACAGATTTCAGGACTCAAAACGTTTGCAAGATAACCATTTGTCATCAAAGAGCATAAACAAGTCAATTCACTGGCAGGTGATGTCCACTAATACCACCCTATTCGAACTGATGATTTTTGAGGTTGAAGTCGTTCTCGAATTTAGCCTGTAAACTCATAAAGCAGTTGACGACAAAAAGTCACCCCGGCCATCCAAACCAACGTCGCCACGTCTTTCTTCAAAGAAAAAAAAAAATGAATGAATGGCCCAATAAATTACTAAACTATTGACCATGACATTGATCAATTATCAAACCATTTTTATGATCACAATGGTCATTAAACGGGCAAATACGGACCAATGAGGTCATTTTACCAAATTTTTACTAATAAAACAATCGGTTATCAAAGGTCTTCTTGCCAAACAAGTCATCGAGTTTCAATGATTTATCGATTATTTTGTTGATAGAATTTGATAAAATGACTTTGATGACCCGTTTTTGTTAATTTAGTGATTTTTGTGGCCATTAAAAAAGTTTAATGACTACCAATACCATAATAATTTAGTGACCTTTTTGGTTTTTCACTCAACAAAAAACCGTATCACATCTTTTCGATCTTTCTTGAGTTTTAATTTTGTTTTGTGCTTACTTGTAGGGGTTTTTTTTTTTTTGGGGGGGGGGGGGAGGGGAATGGGTGTTTCTAAACTTACTAAGAATTGCGGATGGGATAATTCATATTTCTTTCAATACAAGAGATGGCAAAATTTTACGACTCCGTTCCACTGTGAAGTAGCATAAAAGAGGAGAATTATAACCACGCCACTTCAATTTTAATTAGAATAGCTGATTTTCAAAAAGAAAAAGAAAAAGAGAAAAAATTGTGGTTGAATGATTAATCATGGACAAGGCTGCAAATAAATCTAATTGAATTGAATTTTATCCTAATCAAATTGAGTTTCAACTCAATTTTATCAAACTCAAACTTGAGTTTGACTTCGACGAGTTTTCAATGTAAAACTCGAATTCGAATTCAACCTAAAATTCGAGCCTACTCGAACTTAAGAAAATTTTAAAAAATATTTTAGTTTTTAAAACGCGAATAAAATGTTCATTTTTCCTTAATAACTAATAAAATATTATGAATACATATGTAATTTCACTATTAAAATAAAAATAAAAATACATGTATATAATCGAGTTGGTTTGCAAACTAATGAGTTGAGTTTTTCTATGTTCAACTCGAGTTCGATAGATCGAATTGATTGGTTCGACCTCGATGCTGATTGCTATTAAATTAAGTTTTGATTGAATCGACTTGTGAGTAGTTTGATTCGTTTGCAGTACTTATCAAAAGATTCATTTGTATCATAAGTCGTGTGACACTCACTGGTGCTTACATATTATTACAAAAAAAAAAAAAAAAAAGGTGCCTATATATGTATTTTAATTTTTTTATTATTAATTTTGTCAGAGCACTGGACGTTCTTGCGTTGAATAATTCGGACTTCCAGATGATTTTTTTGGTATAGTTACCGTCATTGACCCATTCAACGGTACCCGATGAAGCAATTAGTCTGCGCTAATGCTTGATTTAGAGTTATACATGCTAAAGTTGTGGGAAAATAAGCAGGTTCTAATCAATCAAGTCATCATCAGTCTTAGCATCTCAAGACCAATTTATAAAATTTTTGAATGCAAATGATTAATGGACATTACCAGGTTCAGAATGGTGGTATTCATTTTCCTTTTTTCTTTCAAATAACTTTTCTCTTATTTTCTTAACGAATATTTTTCTTTTAGTTTACAAAAAAAAAAAAAAAGACTTTTTGGATTCTCGCTAATAAAAATATATGTTCTATTATTGTCGTAAGATAGAGAATGCTGTGTTGATCTAAACAAGGCTCTGTTAATATCGTACTACATTGCTTCAACACCACATAACAGTGGAAGAGTGGTTGAGCTGGAGAGACAGATTAAAGTTTGTTGGATCAAGTTTAAAGCCAATTATTATCTGTCACGAAGGATGTGAAAATGATTATTAATACTTAAAGGATGATTTTTACCTTATGCATCATCATAGTATGTGGTGGCGAGCCGGTGGCCACCAACTCCCACCCCTTTCGTGGAAGCAGTTTAGTTTCACCAACTTTTAAGAGAAAAAGAAGCAAAAAAAAAAAAAAAAAAAAAAACCAGAAAGGGAGATTATTTTCAGTTTTCACCAACTCCTCACCAACCGTTGTTGTCCTCCAGCTGTCGCATTCTCCTACCACCTCCCATGCCCAAAGGCCCCAACCCTGAGCGTGGAATTTCTTAGCCGGTCCACCCACCTACCCCCAGCCTTTTCCAAGGGCGGGCTCGTTTGGATAGAGTATTATTTAAAAAATGTGATGTATGTAAGATAAAAAATAATTAAAAATATAAAATGATAAATTGAAAAATGTGTTTACGATGACTCGATAGTTTTATGATTGGCACCGCAACATCATCCAGTGAGGAATTAGAACAGTTAAAAAAGCGCCAAAGGAAAAAAAAAAAGAAACAAGAATTGAAACAAAACCTGGTAGAATTCCTTGTCCTTGGGACGGGAAAGATAAATTTGAAGCTGTCCGTCCAATTCATCTTAGGGTAGGAAGCGAATATGGATTGTCGCCACTTCGTCAAATGCAGGGCCCGCCCAACAACTTTCGCAGTGATTAATTATCCTCTTTTTTTACGAAAAATAAGAAATACTAAGAAAACCTGATCTCCTGCCCACCCCGTACAGAGAAAAGTCCAATAGTGGGTGTGGGGGTCCAGTCACACTCATTGGCCAACCTCACCAACCCCCGCGAGGCCCCGACTCGGTTTGGCGTGCGCTACCACTCCTGAACCGAAACATCACCCGTCTGAACCGGACTTCTGGAGTTGTATATATTCTGCACCTCCTCCCTTTCCATTCTCAGCTTCGCGGTTATCACCATTGTCTGTCCAAAGCTCCCTCAAACTAAAAGAGAAAGAAA